TCCCCCTTCTCCCACCTGAGACCTTCTTTTCCTTAATACTGAGTGGATGACTTCGAAGGTATAGGCTGGCTCCAGGATATAAATTCTTTTTTTTCATCTTCATTCTATTTGGTTTTCTATGGATTATGCTTTAGGAAAGCAAATCAATTTGATGTCTTATTATAAATACTTCATCTTGCTTTATATAATTGCCAGTGAATATGAAGTTATATGTCCCCAGAGGGACTTTATTTTTCATGCCAAACCACAGTGCCTGTTATATGACCCTAAAAAAGTTGCAGCTTTAATCTCCTGATGACAGCTATTAGAGATAAATGAAGAGGGTGGGGGAAGCACCAAGCCAGACAGTATCAGGATATCATCCCAATCTTCAGCTAGGCTTTGAATCATCTTTCAAGTGGATTTCCAAGGGTCTAAATCAGCCCATGGGCTCAACACCCCATAATAATATTTATTAAGCATTTATTATATGCCAGGCACTATTCTCTGTGCTTTTCATACATTTGTTAATTTAATCCTTGTAACAACTCTATAAAGTTATTGTTGTTCTCATTTCAAACTTGAGGCAAATCAGGCACAGATAGGGTAGGTAACTTGTACCAGACCACACAGCAAGTGGTAGAGCTGGGATTCAAACCCAAGCTGGTTTTTCACAACACATGTTGGCCCACCTTATAATCAATAAAATCAGGAAGTTTTACTATGGGATGAGTGTGTTGCCACTGTGTTTAGATAATATTTTGAAACGTTAAGTGTGTTTTTCACCCCCTTTGATTCTTGTATTTCTTTGGACCTGATGGCCCTTTCCCTACTCCAGCCGACATAGCATGTGGGATCTTTTGCCTCAGGAGAGGAATAAGGAGGCAGAATGAAAGAGGAAAATGGGAAAGTGAATCTTTTCCTCACTTCTGAGTTGAGGCCCCAGAGGTAATGGGGAGGATTTTAGCAGAAGCCATCAATTTGGGAGAATGTTCAGTGTCAGAGCAAGGCTTGGAGCCCAGGGCTGGATGAGGCCCATGGTTACCAGTAAGAGACTGGAGAAGAAGCAAAGAGTATCAAGATGCAGATGTGTCCACGGGCAGTGGAGCCTGCTCTGTCCCACCCCTGGGGTGACAGAGCCAGGTAGGTTCAGAAAATCCGAGAGCAGTGAAGAGATGGCAACAACTGAAGTGGAAATGTCTGAGTGGGGTGTGCAGGCAGGCAGGAGTCGGTGAGATCACCAAGTGCCCGTGGCCCAGCAGAGCAGGCAGGCGCCTGTGTGTGCAAGGGTGGCCCTGAAGGACGAGGCGAGTTACCCAACCTGAAGAACCTCTCATACAGGGACAGGAGAAAGTCAGACGAACCACGAGCTGACTGAGAGTGTTTCCACCAGGCAGGAGAATCAAGACTTAGAGCAAAGATTAGTTACAAAAAGATAAATTTACTTTTTTTTGCATGTGGGATTTTGTGGATTGAAATGTGCACCCTTTATTCTAAATAAGATTTTAAAACATGAAATATGGATCCCGTTTTCAGGTTACTCCCAATTTAGGCAGGAAACAACTGTGCAATAAGGGCCAGAGTCCAGGGTGTGCAAGGTCACAAGGCCTGATCTCAAGACCATTTCCCCTACTTTCCAAAATGATCTAAGCCTTGGGTCCTTCATCTGTAAAATGGGCACATGGCAGTAACTCACTACGTATTGGGTATATTAAATGAAAGGTATGTGAAGGACACCAGGAAACTCTGTTTGAACTGGGGAAGACTCTGACACTTTGTGAGTGGAGTTTTCTTTCTCTTTTTAGAAAATTAAAATAATGCACATAAAGCTCTTATTACAAAGTAGAACTTTAATAAATGTTAATTGCCTTCTCTTTAAAAAAAAAAAAAGCAAGCTTTTGCCCTTTATAGCAGACACTATAAATGCTCTATCTCAAATCCCCTTTATTGGGTCTGTGAGTACGTTTCAGTTTCTGTGTGCTTTGCTTTTAAAGGCTTGCATCAGTGACCTTCAGAAGGCTTCTCTGGGCTGCTAGAGCCATTTCCTCTCCAAACTATTCACTGCTGCAAAGCAGGAGGTGCCCAGGAGTTAATGTCCACCACTCTTCACACACATACACATATGCACACACACAGGCAGCCAGCAGCTAGTGACTAACTTGTGTAGGAGATGTACACTCTGAGATGTAACGTACACTCCAGAGCTACCCCAAAGATCAGGCTGAGGTTGGAATCTCTTCAAAACTCATCCTTGCTTGACTTCTCCTTCTCTGTTCTTCTACCCTTCCCACCGCCCCCACTTTTTTCTCCTAGGAGAATTTTCTTAATAAATCATTTGCACACAAATCCTCACTTGAGGGTCTGCTTCTAGGAAACCAGACTAAGATACTCAGTGCTAAAGACTGAATGTTTGTGTTCCCCCACATATAGGATTTATATGTTGAAATTAACCCCCAAGGGAATTGTATTAGGCGATGGAGCCTTTGGGGAATGCTCAGGTCATGAGGGTGGAGCCCCCATGAATGGGATTAGTGCCCTTATAAAAGGATCCCAGAGAACTCTCTTGCCCCTTCCACCATGTAAGGACACTCCAAGAAGACAGCCATCTGTCAACCAGGAAGCAGATCCTTACCAGACACAGAATCTATCAATGCCTTGATCTTGAGCTTCCTGGCCTCCAGAACTGTGAGAAATAAATGTTTGTTGTTTAAGCTACCTAACCTCTGGTATCTTGGCTCTCTAAGCTGTGCTGCCTGAACATCATGGAAGTCTGCTGAATCCCTCATGGTACAGCAGAGCTGAGTTCTGCACTGTAACTGTCGAGTGGCATGGAGAAGGTGGCAAATGGAGATGCCTACCACTGGGCAAGACAGAGTAGTGGGGGGGAGAGACCAGGACCAAGGAGAAGGTTTGCTGAAAGAAATCTATCCCTCCCTCTTCATTCCTCCTGACACCAAATTTTAAACTTCTTCATAGAAACTATGGGGGAGCCATTCCTGGTTTTTGTAGAGAGAAGTGATGTAGTTCACCATTTGTTTCAGGAAGTTGGCTTTGGGGATAATATGATGACTTTATTGGAAATAGTAGAGGCAAAAGAAAAGAAGACCTGTTGAAAGACTATTGCAGCAATACTGAAGGCAGATGACAAAGGGTAGTAGCAGTAGGGATAAACAGTACTGAATTGTGATAAGATTAATGAGAAGGGGCAGAATAAACAGAACCTGGAGATCCATCACATGACTGGAGACCAGGGATAAAGGGGTTGGACTATGCCTGTGTTGCTGGGTATATGAAGGAGGGAAAGAGGGTAAGGAGCAGGTTTGAGACAGAAGATAATTCATGGTTGTGTTGTATTAACTTGATAGTGAGATATCCAGCTGTGTCAGCTATTGCCACAATAATGCTGTGTAACAAGCCACCCCTAAACTCAGTAACTTAAATCAATTGTCATTTATTCTTCTCCACGTTTGAAGGTTAACCAGATGTCAGCTGATCTAGACTGAGATGTTCCATGTTTGTCTTATCCTTGGACCAGTGGTCTATCCATGGTATGTCCTCATGGCAATGACAGAAGCCTAAGAGGGCAAGCGGAAATACATAAGCACATTTCAAATCTCTGTTTGTTCTACATTTGCTAACAACCATTAGTTTAAAAAAGTCTCATGGTTGAGCCCAAAGTCAAGGGGCAGGAGGAAGGGAGAAAGGAGAAAATAACTGCCAAACAATAATCAAATCCAGCCCTAAGCAAACTATAATCTGTACATCAAATCCAGGCTAATGCCTGTTTTTATAAATAAAGTTTTATTGGAATGCAGGCATGCCCATTTGTTTATATTGCCTGTGGGTGCTTTCCTGCTACAAGGGCAGAGTTGAATAGTGGCAACAGAGACTTCAGGGACCATAAAGCTGAAAATGTTTACAATTGCACCCTTTATAGAAAAAGTTTGCCATCCCCTGATCTAATCTACCATGTTGGCAAAAGAAGAATAACTAGACAGTCCCTGAGTCTTATAAGGCCTACTGAAAGCATTTTGTGTCACTGAGCCTGCCTCAGCTGTCCGCTTCTGAGATGTTTTATCATATCTCAAGCAAAGAAAATAGTGGTAATGGAACAGAAATGAAGGGTGCTGTGCTTGGGATGGTCTATGGAGTCTGCTTTTGTTCCCTAGGAAGCCCTGCTTCACCCAAGACCACCACAGGGGATGAACTTTCAAAGATACATTTTTTAGCAGCACCATCAATCACTATTCAGAAATTTACATCTCACACATGGACGCAACAATCTAGAATAATATTTGACTGCAGCGCTGTGGCTTACCTGTATAATCTGTGCCCAAATTTGAAAATGCAAAGCATACATTCTGCAGGAGACAGAGCCCTCCTAGAGAAGACGGGCTCTGACAAGAAGCACAAGGCCAGCCAAAGCTCCTCACCAGCCAGCATCAGCCAGGGAGGATGAGGGAGGCCTCAGAACACAGCTTTATTCGCAAATAGCTCTCACAAGTGGCCGTGAGTTCAAGATGGAAATTTACTGAGAGTTAAGCATCAACCACCAGGAAAGAGACTTTCTGCTGTGTTTTCTCCTGAAGCCCTTTGCCAAGGTTGCAGAGGCCACCCACACTCCCCAGATCACATTGTCACCCAGATGCTGCTGCTGAATGCAGTGCTCAGACAGGCCAGCCTGGCCTTTTTGCTCAGAGAGGTTCTGTGTCTATCAACAACTATTTATTGAGGACCTATTGTGGGCCAAATGATGATTGAGGCACTAGACATAAAGCAGTAGACAAAATAGACAAATAATTTGCCCTCATGTAACTTACATTCTAGTGTGTGTGGCAGGGGAGGAAAGAGAGAGACAGACAGTTAAGAAAATAACTAAATGAAGTGTGTGGCTTGTCAAGTGTCAATAAGCGCAGTGGAGAAAACAGAGGAAGGAAGAGGAAATGCCAGCTGGGAAACGGGCTACAGTTTTATGCAGGAAGGTCAGGGAAGCTTCACTGAGAAGCTAACAGATGAGCAAGGATTTGGAGGGGATGAAGGAGGGAGGCTGAATGTGTTCAGTGAAAGGGTGATCTAGGAACAACCAGCAAGTGCAAAGGCCCTGAGGTAGGAGCATGGTTGAGAAGACACAGACTCATGTTCCCAAAACCTGGTTCCAGACAGGCCTCCTCTTAAACTAGACTGAAGACAAGAAGCTGTTTTTAAACTAGAGCAGCTCTCCTCCTCAGTGCAGTGGGGAGGTAATTATTCCTCTTCCTAGATTGGCTGGGTGTGTATCTAGGGGAGAAATGTACTTCCTGACTGCTCCCACCTCAGTCCCATCCTTGTAGGGGTTTCTCTCCCAATGCTTGCCCTACAGAAGTGAGTGGTGACAACTGCTCTCCTGGGACTCCTGACTTTGAATTCACCCCAAGGTCACTGTGTTGGGCAGTGGACACTCCCAGAGGGTAAGCCCTGTCCTGGGTGCCAGCAACCCAAAACAGGATTTCGGTTCCCACAGCCATCTGGCTGCTCTGTCCTATATACTCTCCATTTAATACCAGGCTTTGCAGCCTCAGCAGAAGCCAGCAAGGGAGACTCTGGGAGAGGCAAGGTCTGTGGAGGTGAAGGCAGGCTTGCCTTCAACCTCACCTTCCCATTCTCCCTCCTCTCACCTCATCCTCTTCCTCATCCTTCGGGTCCCACTGGCATGCCACCCCCTCCCCATAGCTGAAGGAGGATTTAGATTGATGCAGAAATTGCTCTCTCTCCTAAGCAGAGGCCACTGCCTATTATATTTCAGCTGGTTGAGCCCATTTCCCCCCACTAAACTGAGGCTCCTTGAGTCTCCTTGAGGCAGAAACTGGACTTACTCTTGCCTCCCCACTGCACCCAGGACAGGCCCTTACAGGGGGCTCTAACTCAGTAAAATCTTCTCGGATTAACTTGAAGATGTTTCTTGTAACAGGACTGCTTAAGCACCTTCCTCCCAATCCCCAAGGCTTCATTCCTCAAGACACAATATCCAACCTCTCCCTGGGTGTGTGTTGTGTGTGTGTAAGGCCTGCAGGGCATCCTGGGGTACAGTGGCCCCACTCTCCCTGGGAAACTTCCAGAAGATTTGCAGCTCAGAGACCAGGGCACTGCGGGTCAGAGGGTGAGGCCACAGCTTTAAACATAGAATAGGCTATCATAATAAAAAGATTAAACATGAATGTTTTTTCTCAAAACACGAGACTTTGCCCATCTTCAGCATCAGAGCCGATCTGAGCTTTTCTCTCCCTGGTGTTGATTGGGCTCAGCTCAGGAGGGACAGAATGTTTTACAACTGTTTACAGGAAAAGGGGGGAAGCTCAGAGGACCCAAAGAAAGGCCTACTGTTGGGAGACCAGATGGACTGAAGTGCCCAAAGAGGGGAAGGTCAGCACCTCTGGTCAGCCTGAAGCCAGGGCAATAAGGTTACAGAGAGGACCTTGTTCTGCAGGTAAACAATGTCAAGCATGTGCAGCGTAAGAGGTACTTTTGTAAGGAATACTATTCAAATGCTAACCCTGCAACAGGAGGTGGATAGAATGGGGGATCCACAGGTGCAGCAGAGAAGGGCCATTTGGCTTGAACTTCACATTTCACGAAGTGCTTCAAACTCAGACTTTTGAAATTCTACCCAAAACGGTTTTATCTACAGTCACACATATCAGCTGCCAGGATGGACAGAAGAGGATGATTGTCACTTGGCTTCAGTGTCCCAGGACAGAACCAGCGAGCTCTGTGAAACAACATGGTTTTATAAATCCCACTATTCTCTTGCAAATAGTTCAGTTCTACCATATTGCAGTTTTTATAAAAACATTAATTTATGTCAATATTTCGAACAAGCCAGAATTTCAAGACGCAAAGACACTCTAGTACAAATGAGCACACCTAGTGCTCAAATCTTGGTCTCACATATTATTCTCCAGTAAAAAGAATTAAGGTTCCTGAAAGAAAAGTCTAGTTTCAGACCTGGGACAAGGTTGCTACAAGATGAGCCTAGACCATCTTGTTATGCTGGAAAGTAAGTGCTCAAAAAATGATGGGCACATGTCATAAGGACATGGGACTCAGCCTGTAGGGACAGCCACTGACTAAATTTAGAACAATTTGCACATCAAGGTAATTAAAGACAGTACATTACAATTAATTACACTCATGAATTATAAGCCATTGGGAAAAATAAGAATTCATGCCCATGCTGATAATAAATAGGTATATAAATAAGTAGGGGACAGGAAGGACTCTTGATTAAAATACGATACTGAGAGTCAACTGTTAAATGTGATGGGAGTCTGGGAGCTGGAAAATCATCATTTTGCAACCATTATGGTGAAAACTGGATCAGGCAAGAAGCATTAGTAGATGCTAAATCTAGGGGGAAATTTTGCTGAGAAGCAGGAACAATTGACATGGTCTCAAAGTGTTCTCCCATCGATTGAGTATTGGTTGCAAGGGAGTAAAGTTATACTACAATGAAAAAACTAGAGAACACGGAGACTGAGGGACCAAAATTAACATCATCTATGAGAGACAGAGGGATATCACACGCCTCCAGATGTGATACACTGAGGATACATTATCACCCATGTAGTATTCCAGCCAAGAATACAAACCCTAGCCTAATCATCCAGAAACAGTAGACAGACCCAAAATGACGCACAGTCAGTTAAGAGAAGGGGAGGGTAAGCTATATTCCTTCAAAAATGCCAATGTGGTGCAAGACAGAAAAGCTGTGGAATGTTTCAGATTAAAGAAAGCTAAAGAGACATGGCATTTAAACATTGACCCTAGGCTGGATCCTGTATGGGAGGGGGGAAAATTCTATTAAGGTCATTATTGGGTTAACTGAGAAAATTGGAATATAAATACTAGTTTTAATAAAAGGATTGCATCAACATTAAATTAGTGAAGTTTATAACTGTACTATGGTTCTGTATAAGACTATCCTTAATCTTAGGAAATACACAGTGAAATATGTAGGGGTAAACAGCCATAATGTATGTAACTTAAACCCTCAAATGGCTCAGATAGATGGGTAGATGGACGGATAGTTGAATAGATGGATGGATGGATGGATGGAAGCTTCTCTGAACTTCAGATCTTATATCCAACTACCTCCTTGACAACCATATCTCAGAGGTGGCTCCAAGTTACTATTCCTAGATGCAAACTCTTCTTCATCTTCTCGTACTAAACTAGTCTTTCTCCAGGGCTCCCTCTGACAGAAAAGGCATCACACAGATGCCAAAGCCAGGCCCTGACCCTTAACGATCTGTCCAAACCATCCATTTCTCCTCATCACGTCCACACTGCAAAAACCCCCCAGCTATCCACATTCACCCTCACGTCCCTCCTCCAGCAGCAACCAGAGGGGTCTTTTCCAAACAAAAATCATCAAGTCCCTGCCTCTCTAAAATCCTCCCTCTGATTACTCTTGGGGTAAAATTCAAAAGCTTCAGCAAGATCTACAAAATCTTGAAGGGTTGATTCCAAGAGCTTCATCTTACACCCCTCCCCCACAGTTCTGCACACCCACCCACAGACCGTATACAAATGCCTGGCATGCTCCTTGCTCCTTGCTCCCCAGCATCTTTCCAGGGGCCATTCCCTGCATCTGGAAGTTTCCTCCTCTCCCTTCAGCACCCCCCCCTCACTCAGCTAACCTCCATTCATCCTTCAAACTCCAAGCTGACTTCTCCTCTTGTGTGCACTCAGTAACTGACGTAAAATCCACTGGTCACCACAGCTAGATCTGGGTTGACTGGAGAATTTTGTGGGAGAGGACATGAATTTAGAAGTGGGGAGAACTGGACAAAGAATACGGGTGGTCAGGGAGAAACAGTCTCCCCAAAGTAGATATGAGACAGACTTTCCAGCATGGCTTGATCAATCCTGTCCTCCCCAAAGCTTCCCCACCAGCCACTGGCAAAGCATATTAACAATTCTCAGGAACTAGAATCTGGGTAATAAACTAAAGCCTAACCTTTTTTCGTGTGTGTGCTTAGTCTGGTCACAGAGTACAGCGTGCAGAGGACTGGCACCCGGCGCTTCAGACCAGAGCTCCTAGTGCGAAATGGCTGCGCCCAGCACTTCAGCTCAGCGGGCCGTGTGCAGAAGCTCTGTGCACGACACCTCGACTCAAGATGGCGGCGGCCAGCTGTGCGCTAGAGCGCTGTGCCCACAAGGATTCTGCCCTCCTCCCTGACGAGAACCCAGCCAAAAGCCTTTCAGGGAGAGCATGTACTCTAGTGTGCACACCTCTCCATTCCTGGATCAAAGAATAAAGCCTTCCTTTGCTTCTGAACTGAACTCTGTTCTACTGCCCCAAGCAACACCAGGCAGAAGGACCCTCCTTGGGGATGGACTCAGGAGAGTTGGTAACAAAACCTGTCTTAAAAGGAAGAAATGAGCCATCAACCCAAAAGCATTTCAGCACTGGAGCAACAAGGAACCTGTGGGTCCTACTGGCCTGAGTGAAATCGCATCCCCTGGGGGCTTTCTCTAGCTGGTGATGCTCTACAGGGCTGTGGGGGCCACCGGGCAGGGAGGAGCAAGGCCAGCCGCAGCAGGGAGGGAGGGACCTGGAAGCGGCTGTTTGGGCCTGAAGTGTGAGAGCGAGTAGAGGTGCAGGACCCAAAGGACAGAGTCCTGGTGGAATTTTAAAAGGTCCTTTGAAGTTCTCGAAGCAGTGGATCTTCCAAACGTGGCCACGACAATCTCCCATCCTACGTGCTCTTCTTAACGTGACCTTGACACCCAAGGTTAAGCCATAAAAATCATGTAGCTTCTTTTGTGAATCCCTTGGAACACTCACCTCGGAGCCCTGAGCCACCAGTTAAGAAGCCCGATTACCCCAAGGCTGCTAAGCCCGAGGCACATGGACTAGACACACACTGGTGTTCCAGCTCACAGCCCTGGCTGAGGTCCCAACGACAGCCAGCCAAGCATATGAGTGAAGACAGCCTGCAGCCATAAAGTTACCCTCAGCCTTCAAGTCTTTTCAGACAAGGCCCCAAACAGCATGGTGTAGAGACAAGCCATCCTCACTGTGTCCTTTTCGAATTTCTGACTCAGAATCTGTGAGCATAATAAAATGGTTGTTTTATGCCACTGAGTTTTGACATGGTTTATTATGGAGCA